GAAGAATAGGAGTAGTTTTGAGGCATATTAAGCAATTAAGACCTAGGTGTCTAGGTTAGTAATAAATGGCGTTGTGAATCGATTAAATTGCTGAGATGTTGAGAATGCTGATAGACATCATTGATTAGTTCTTTAACAAGTCTGCGAGAGTTATGAGAATCAGAATGTTGAGAATGCTGATAGACATAATTGATTTGTTCCTTTTAACAAGTCTGCGAGAATTATGAGAATCAGAATGTAGAGAATGCTGATAGACATAATTGATTTGTTTTTTAACAAGTCTGCGAGAATTATGAGAATCAGAATGTGGAGAATGCTGATAGGCATAATTGATTGGTTCCTTTTAACAAGTCTGCGAGAATGATGATAATCAGAATGTTTACGTATGAAGTACACTAGTAAAATAGATCGGCTGAAGGTATGAACAATTTGATAAAAAAGAATGAGAGAGGCATAAGTAATACGAGAATGATTATGAGTATTGAGAATTAGGAAGCAGTTGAATTATAGGAGATAAATAAATGATAAATATAGTATATTTTAGCTTAAGTCCGTGATAGATGTCGTCATACGTGCGAGTAGGAAACTTTATTTTGAAGATCGAGATTAGGATGGTTGATGGATCAGCCTAATCTAGAAGATGGATAGATGCCGCCAGATAGGAGGCCCAGATCAGGTATGGAGAGATGACGGTAGATAGACCCACAGGCAGGTCGTACAATCGTAGAAGAGAACGGGAGTGGGGATCTCGAAGAAGAATGTCTTGCTGGTTTTGTGGAGGGGATCATATTTTACGGAGATGTCCCACGATTAGCACAAACAACAACATGTTAGCGGTACAGGAGGAAGAACCTATGGTAGGACAAGGGAGCAGTTTATGAGGGGTAGAATCAAGTAGAAGTGCGAAGGTGTTAAAGTTATTAAAAAAAGTGTATTTTTTTTATGATATGATTTGAATATTTAAATGAAAGATGAATATTAAAGTTATCCTTAATGAACTAGAATGTACGGAGAATATTATTGTTTATTTTAAATTTTGCATAAACAATTTTTTTTTTGAACTTAAATGTACGAATAATACTATAGATAATTGTAATTTTGCATATAAAATGTTTTTTTTTTGCATATCAATTTTTTTATATATAAACTCGTAATTTTTATAAATTTCATTATTCGATTTTCATTTTGGATTTGTATTTGGAAATAATAAAGTCATATCCTTAAAAGTGATATCTTTAAAAGGTATTATTAGATTTATATTGAATATATTTATCTAAATATTATTTATACTAAAACTTCCAAACACGACATATATTATAATTAAAATTATAAAACTAGTATATTATAATTATAATAATTATTTTCTTAATATAATATTAATAAAATATTACAAAAAGAATATATTATAAGATAAGTTTTTTTAAAATTATTTTCTATTTTAATAGCTGGCGCAGAAAATGGGAGAGTTGTATTATATTTAATAAATATAAATTTTAATTCAGGGAATTTATTAAAAATATTTAAAGAATTTTCATTATTTTGAAAAAAGCATAGCATCGATGTAGGATCTTCATTCATTTCCTCATCAAAATTTTTTTTATCTAACAAAAAATATTCTGGTATCTGTGTTGGTTAAAGGAATTAAGTCTGCACTTTCTTTATCAAGATCTTTTCTCAAACTGGAAATAAAATCTATCATTTCACCTTTGTTGACCTCTAATTTTATCCAGGGCCAATCCAATTTAAATAATGGGTGATTTATTGCGGATAGTATATATTCATCTTTAGGGATGTGTTTGAATCTATTGAAATAAAAGATATTCAGCAATATTTGAACTGTATACCTTAAATCTATGCCTTCCAGGATTGAATTAATAAGCGGCTTACAAAACTTGAAATTATTTAAAGCCATTTTTTTTAAGTTTTAATATTACAATAGTTATCGTGGGAAATAAGATATCCCAATTACATTTTTTCGTCGATCTCTATCGGTTCCATAACCTATAAAATCATATATATACACACATATCATATTTCTTAATTAACACTAACAATACAATATTTATATATGAACGACTTGTAGTTATCTTAAAATCTCTGTAATTCAGATCTATCACAAGATTCGTCAAATTTTTGGCAATTCTCCTTAATAAGACTATCTATTAATTTTACGGAGTTATAAAAAGGGTTCCATCTTGTTATAACCGGTTTAATCAGATATTCCCATGTTTTCCTTAAAAATGACTACAGCTTGAAGATTGCATTGCACATGTTTATTCCACAATAGCTTACACTTGAAAAATGTAATTTTTGAAATGGTTATATAATGCACTTCGTTAACTACCTTTTCAATATGAACCTTTGTAATGAAATTTAATGTGTGCTGAGCAGGAATGATGCTTAGGTAAGTATACAATACTATCATTAATATTTTGATTTTCAAATAGATCAAATAATGGCAGAGGAACTATTTTATCATCCGATTGCTCTCCTTGTTCATACACTCTAATAAAATTTTAAGAAATATATTATAATTTTTTTTATTTGAAAGCTTTTATATAATTTCTAGCATTGTCGTTAATGCATTTGGTCACTTTATTTTGTATCTTATATGTGGTAAGATTATTTTTGCTAGATAATCAAATATGTGTTTTTGGTTTAGCCTTTTAAAAGCCAGGAAGGCTGAAACCCTCTAAGAGTGTCTGGGTTTAGTAAGTGTACCGTCATCCCTAAATAAGAACTCTTTAAAAGAAAATATTTTCAATTTAAAAAAAATATATTTTATATGCCGATGATAAACTGACCAAGAATTTACAGTTGTAGTCAATGTTTGGGATACACCATAAATCCACTAATTTATTTGCCATGGTGTCATATGCTTTGCTATTTTTAATTCGAGGGGGACATCACATTTTTAGTTGGCTGCAATTTTTTGATAATATTAATAAATGCTGTGCTTTCTGCAATTGAAAATATTTGTAATTCTTCAATTACAAAATTAAAAACTAATTCATCAACAGCTGATTGTGCTATTTTTATCTTTGATGTAGATGGATTCTGCATATCACTGAGTGTGAGTTGATTGACTTCAATTTTTTTTTATTGCTATTCAAATTTTCATTAATCTCTTTATTTTTGAGAAATGTACAGTCTATAAATATTATTAATTCCTGAATTTTTTATTAAAAATAACTTAGCTTTTCAATAATTGAACATTAATTGCATTTTTTAATCCATCACTAAGATTATTGTCAAGGAAAATCAAAATTATGATTGCCATATATACTTATCTTTTTTAGAATTATCATTTAAAAAGGAATCAGGAAAAATATATAGGTTCAGTTCACTAAAACAATATTGCTTCATAGTTTTATTCCATATATATATTTATTTAAACATAGTTTTAAAATCACTATTTTATTCTTTAAATTTATTAATAATTTGAAGTTAAACCAATAGCAATACTAAAACAAAATATTGTTTAAATACAATATAATATTTTGTTAATCTAGGGTTTTTAATGCTGGTTCCCAGTCCTATACTATAGTATAATTTAATTGCTTATATTTTAATTTTATGATTAAGCTTTTCAAAATATTATGATAGAACACTTTCTCTTAGTGGTTATTTTATAATATCCATGATTTAATATTCTATTAAATAATAATATATTAATTCATTTTTTTACTTTCATAGGCTTTTTTCAAGTTTGAACTACTGGGTATTGAGGTTGAAATATTTGCGATGGGACATAATTTACATTTACAAAGTGTAGACTTTATACCCTTAATGATCTTTATTGGCGTAAAATATGTTTTAAGACCAGGGAAGGGTTAAATCATCTTTACCTGAAAAATTAATAAGTAAGACATAATATTCTTAAAATAAATTATAAAATAGAATAATAATATTATTAACATTTACTTTGAATTTTAAATTAATATTCGAGTGAAAATTTAACGAGAATTAAAAATAAAAATGAAGGAATGGAGGTTGATATTAAAAACTCTGCTTAAATTATATATATTATATAAAAATAGTAATTTTATAGTACAATAAAATATGTTTTTCTTTTTTAAATATTTTTTAAGAAAAAATTTAAACACGTTTTGCGTTAACGTTACTCAAAAAAAGAAACGCATTACCGTTACCTCTAGAAGGTAATGAATGGCGTTCCTTTTCTTCAAGAAACGAAATTAGTAACGGCGTTACTTAACAGCACTAGTTTTTCCTATATTTTTTAAGGAAAAATAAGTAACGAACAACGTTTTGCGTTACAGTTACTTTAAAAAAAGAAACGCGTTATATTACAGCATTAAAAAATAGTATTTACTCCGCTAGTAGTTGAAACCTGACGATTCCCATCCTCAAATTATTACTTGATTTAGGGTAATTTAATTAAAATAATTTTTCTTCCAATCAATTTTTTGATGTTAGATATTTATAAATTGTTTTAAAAAAATATGGGGGCTGATCAGGTAATGTTAGTTGGGTGATATTTAAATATAATAAAATATTTAAATATTATTATCAGAGTACAGTTGACAAATAAAAATCAATTTGATTAAAATCACCCCGATTTTTTAAAAAAAATAGTGATTTAAATAAAATTCTATTTACTAAATGAACAAAATACTTATAAGGAAAGACTATTTGATATAATATCAAATTAGCTCATGACATATAAATATAAATTTTTTAAATAATTTCCTGATCAGACTTCCGGAAGTATTAACTTTTTACTTACAAAGAAATATTATACTAAGGTAAAAAAAAGTTATGATATAAGATGTTTTTTAATCTAAATCTCTAACTTCTCCAATTGAAATATTAGTATTTGATTTAAATAAAAAAAATCAATTTTTCTAATTTTTTCAAAATAAGCACAAATTTTGCCAACCCTATTATAGAGAAAGACAAGTATAGAATGAATCTTTATTTATTTATTATAAAATTTTTTACTATACAAATTTAGTCGTGATTTATCATATCATAGTCTTTTAATTATTAATAAATAAAATATATTAGAATTAAATAAATATTTTTATCATATTATTTATATAAAATTTCGGTAATAATTAGCGTTGAGTTAATTCATTAAATCATATAATATAAAACATATTCAATCATAATAATAATAAAAATAATACTATATATTTTTAAACATAATTTTATCTTATAAAGTTTATCCATCCCGTCGTGACAGCTAACTTATGGCTTTTAGTATTGTATAAATATTAAACCGGAATGAATAGGCAGATTAGATTAGAAAAGATAAATACAAAAAAAACATTAAAAATGAAGGTGACATTTTTATAAGAAACCAATCGCCCACGTGACCACCAATTTCTAAAACTTACTCAATTACCATTTCATGTTATTTATAAAGATGAAATCATTATTTAGAAATTTACATAATATAATAATTTGACTAATAAATACGAATACCATATTTTGCAAAAAAGTGAAATGTATTTTTTGTTGCAGAAATGTAAAAAAATAGAACAAAAGGCAGTGTTAGACTTATAAACATTTATGTTGCAAAAATAATTCAAGGTGTTTGAATTTCGGTGAGTGATCACAGACAATGATAACGAAAATAAAATTTTAACAAGAATACCATCTAAAAATATATATTTATTTTTAATTCGCGCTATTTTGTATTTTTATAAAATTGGGATCTACAAATATCTAGGTAACCTCCTTTAAAAAATTCCAAAATGATATTTAATTTTTTTGTACTTGTATTATAATATATTTTATCAAGCATGGAAGTGGAAAGGAGATTGTTCAAATTGATGAAAGTAGGAAAATGAAGGGAAAAACATATTATCATAATGAATTACACATACAAACTGAGAGAAAACTATTGTAAATAAAAAAAAATAAGAGTGGCGTTTCACTTAGTTATACCAACTTCACAAATTATTTTGGTGGGGTTAGTATAAAAACCAAGTGGCATAATGGCATTAAAAGGAGTCCTCAAGCTTGACTGTTCTTGAATGAATAGTAAACTATAATTTCAAAGTCTAGTAGATTTGACCTTGCTAGACTTACAAGGCGATAATGTCTGGGTGTTATCCCACGTTCGGTTTCTAGTTGTCAGACAGTTCTCAACTTTATCGATGTAATGTTTATCGGTGCAATGCTTAGGAGAGCGGGATAGGTTAAGAATGTCGAAGGAAAGAGAATTGCAAGACCCTTTAATGGCTAATTGCCTATTAATTTTATCTGGATAATCTGATCGATGTTTGTTTTTAGAGCTATCTATTGGAGGTATGATGGGTGTAGATCCAAATCGCATTTTGTCTTGTTTGAAAAGGGCAGTGGTTATATCCTTGCTAAAATGGCCTTCTAATTTTGGGCTCAGGAATTGACCTGTGAATAAATGATTTAAATTTGAGTTAATTTAAAATAAATAAAATTTTCACATTAATTATAACTAATAAGCAACCATAATAAATAAATTAACTAAATATGCTAAATAAATAACGAATATGAAAAAAATAACCTTTTGAGCAACCATCCAAATCAAGGTTTGAGTATGAGGAACATCCCGTAGGATTGAAAAAATTCAAAGCGAAAATATTTTCCGAACTTACACAGGCGCTAAGCCTCGATTTAGCCCTAGACTTCATACCATCTTTTAAATTTGCATTTTTTTGTTCGTTATCTCCAATATCACCGATGCATAGATCGTGTCTATCCAAAAAATCAACATCTGCATTTACCTGTTCAGATAGTTCCGAGTACTTTTTCCCAAAATCAACGTCGAAATCCTTAGTATCTATGTTACAATCTTTTTCAAAAGTTCGAGATATGACATTAGTAGATGGAACTATCAGTTTAATTTCTTGGCATTCAACATCTTCAACTTCATAATCGGCATTCGTTTGATCGAAATCAGAACAGCTAAAATGACCGAAAATTTCCTGACTCAAAGAATTTTCGTATTCGAATGAATGGTCGGTAGAGCTATCCTTGTCCTCTCCTCCGAAAAATAATGGCATTACGCTTATGGTTACATTCCCCGTATTTTCAAAATTTTCGTGAGTCGTAGCAGTGTTTTTGTCGAACAAGTTTACAGCGTTATTATTAGACGGCGATATGAGGGAGGAGAAAGAACGACAATTTCTAGCAACCTTAAAAGGGGATAAGAAAACATTTCCAGATTTATTGGCCCCTTTTATTATAAGATCAGAAAAGTTTGAGTTTTTTGTGGTAGTAGAAAGATTATCATTAGGGCAAAGCCCGGCATTGATTATTTCTAAATAATTTATTTCACTCAAGCTATTCTCGCCTTCTATCTTCAAATTCTCACCACCATCATTAGTATCAAATGATACTTTGTCGAATTTATTTTCACCAAAATTTTTTATATCCGATGCAGAAAATCTTTTGAGCTTTTTAAAGTTTTGGGCCAATTTATCGCCCAGACCCAAAATTTTGGAGTTTACGCGCGATTTGGAACATTTTTTTTTGGAGGAATGATGTGTGTTTTGCCGGTTAATATCACCATCACCTTTAAGGAAATGTTTAGTCGTGTCGTAATGGTTTGCTTTCACAATAATTTTATTATCGATATTATTGGTAGTAGTAGTACAATCGATGGTTTCGACGCAAGAATTAATGGCATTATCACGGTTTAACGAATTTTCCAACATTTCAGAGAAATTTTCGATGATTTCTTTGCCAGCATTGAGCCATGTATCGTTGATTCGGAGTATGGAAAAGGACGGTAGTGGTTCACAACTAGCATCTACGTCTACAATATAATCATTATCCAGTTTTTTTTTGAAACCTTGAAAATTACGATTATAGGTGATTCGCGATGCCTCCAATTTAAGAGCTTCTACCATATCGGTCTCGCGACTCTCCAAAACTTTTAACTCTTCCAATTTTGCATGCAACATTTCCTTGTTTTAAAATTGAAATTAAATGTTAAATGTATTTTGTATTAGAGATGTACCAACCAATTTTTAAAATATAAATCGGTTTGGTCTTATATGTGGTAAGTGGCGTAGATAAGGTGGTTTTTGTATGAAACTCCACTTTATGTTCTCAATAATACCTTTATCTGTGGTGTTAGCGACGTTTTGATTGAGTTGATTAATAAAAAAAGCTAACTCAATATTTTATCCAGCAAAATATTAAGCAAGACTGAAAATTTTTCTCATAAATGGCCCAATGGTTTGGACATCTATTAGTCATATCTCGAGGCTTAAGCAATATTTATCTGGCTAAAAATTCGAGTTAGTAGTCTAAAAATCGGCTCAAATCGAGTTGTTTAACAACACTAATTCGAAAATTAGCTACCTTTTTAAAGTTGATAAAACCAGGAAGGGTCCAAACCCTTCGAATCTAGATATATAGCTGAACCAGAACCCCGAACTTTCCTTTTAAATTTAAGGTTGGTTCATGAATTTCTTAAATTTATTTTTATTATAAAATTTATTCATTTTAGAGAGTACCCATTTTATGTAAAGTTAAAATTTTTCTAGACATCATACCCTGAACCAAAACCTGGTTCCGAGATTTTTCATTAAACCCAAACCATTGCTTTTAGAAGGAGGGTTCACAGCCCCCATTAATATTTCTATAAAATCATCCCAGATATTTTATAATTTATTAAAAAACGACGTGAAAAAACCCTTATTTTCAATTAAATTTTCACATAAAAAAAATCGTAAAATGAGCCTCCTAAAGACGCTATAATTCGTATGGGATCGAAGTTTGACCTTTTCAGTTTCTAAATGTAAAAGCGCGCTTTATGACCTGAGGGTAAAAATCATCTATTGTAATCGTTTTCAATTTTACCATAACCAATTCATCTCATTTTGATATCATATTTTAGAAACCACAAATCTTGACTACTTTTTTACAGGGTTGTGCATTTGACCGGTCAAATACAATTCGGTCAATTGACCGATATTTGACCGGTCAAATACGGTCAAATTCAAATAAATGTTTTTTACACCAATATTAACTTTATTTTGCATTTATATAATATTATAATAAATCTATGTATAATAATAAATATCATAATATTTTTTAATTCATTCTATAGTCAATGTTTCACCCTCCGTGGTAGAGTCTTGTTCCGATTCATATTCAATATAATTATTTTCTTTAATATTTTTAATCAATCTTAAATTATGATACACTCTGACTAATTTTCCTGCTGTAGAAGCCTTTAATCTATTTCTGTTTTTCGTGTGAATATTGCCCCAAACCGACCAATTTCTTTCAGAAGAAGAAGTCGAACTAGGAAATGTTAGTAAAATATTAGCGACATCTCTTAATGGGCAAGGTGGGCAAAATGCATTCCACCAACTTGAGGCTGAAATTTGATTGTTTCTTATGGAAGTTACAACTTTCCACATATTATGGCTATTAAATATACCGCTTTTGCTTCTGAAATTTACTATATTACTCAAAATATTTTGATTATCACCACCTTGTAAAATACCCAATTCTTGTATTATATTACATGCTTCATCAAATTCAGTATTAGTAAGATGCTCCCCTTGATATTGGGGGTCCAATAAATAAGCAGCATTGTGAGCACATGTATTTAGATCAGTTTTTCTCTTTTCAAACATAACCTTAATTATTTTTTCTTGAGATGGAGAAAATTATAGAATCATGGCATGATTGTATTATGTGTTTTTCCAAATTAAGCATCTCGTTTTTTACTTGGGCCAAAGTACATTTATCCCCTTGCACTTTCAACAATGAGGTAGCTAAAGGTTGGAGTATAGCTAAAAATTTTAAATTTTTCGTCCAAAATTCTTCGTTTAATATATTATTGGTAATTTCTATGGGACAAATATCACAAACAGCTTCTTCAACAACTGATGCTTTTAGAGCTTTCTTGCATATTTGAATTTGCTCCATACATTTTATTGACGATGCTCATCTTGTTTGGCTAATTGTACTTAATGTAGATGGTATGCCATGAAGATTCTTATTACGGGAAAATACTGCAGCTGGTATGTGTTTATTCTTGAAAAATTTAACAATTTTTTTAATTATTGAAATATGGTCACTGAAGGCGTTCAATCGTTCAAAATCGTGAAAGAATAACTGCAATGTATGCGCTGCACAACCATAACATTGTGTATGATTATTAATAGATTCAGATTTTAGAATTCTCCAGGCTGCTTTCATGTTAGCGGCATTATCAGTAACTAAAGAATATACTTTTACCGGATTCAATTCATGAATTACATTTTTAAATTCCTGAGCAATATAATCTGCCGTATGGCGATTTTCCTCAGTATTTAGAAATTTATAGAACACTGGAACAGGCGTCATCACCATAAAATTAATAATACTCTCGTTTCTAATGTTGCTCCAGCCATCTGATACAATTGATAAGTAAGGAGCTTTATCTATTATATCTGCAACTCTCACCTCCATATCACCTGACGCGCTGCATTCTCCTGGTTAATGTGTAAATAGGACGTATTTTTTTAAAAAATTCTTGGATGTAGGGATTTTCAGTGATGTGGAAAGGTAAATTGCTCGCATATACAGCCTTTGCAAACAATTAATCCAGCTCATTTTTTTCTTTGGGATTAATTCTATCTATGAAACCGGTTATACAAGATTGAGATTTATATTTAATCGCCTTGCTTGTAGATTGATTAGAAATAATGGAATCAAATTCTCCTGAGTCACAAGACAAAATATTGTTCATTTGATAATCATTCTCACCAATTTCCCCCAATTCTTCATTCGAGTTAGACTTAGAAGTATTACAAATTACATTTGTGATATTTTTTGTAGAGGTTGATATTTTGGAATTTGAATAAAATTTTTCCTTAATTATAACAGGGCACATAGTACAGCTGCTTAATAAATGTTTGACCATTCTATCAACGTGGGTGATATAGGACATCTTGCAAAACTTGCACACCGCTTTAACTGATTTACCATCGCGTACTTCTTGAAAATGTTTCCAAACATGATGCTTTGGTTTGACCATAATCCCTAATATATTAAAATTTAACAAAAAATGATTTTGATTATTGTAAAGTTAATCAATCTTAACTATTTTATAATTATCGACCAATTATTCCAATAATTTTTTAATATTATAAATATAATATAATATATATAACTTTTTACCAGAATTGAATAATATTCCGTAAATCTGACCAGAACAATTAAAATGAAAATTATTTAAAAACTAAATATAGCAAGTGTAAGTAAAACAAATGAGAATTAATATAATTTATATTCGGCTAAATATTAAATAAAATTTAAATTTATTAAAAAATAAGAATGAAAAAATTATATTATGATTATAATAAATCGGGTATTTTTATTTTTTTAGAGAAAAATGAATTGAAAAAAATAAAGAAGGCGAGAAACGGCAATGATTAGGCAAAAAAATATTACTATATTTAGAAAAATTACATATTTATATTTTAACAATAAAAAAATTCTTTTGTTTTTAACAATTCATGATACAAATAATTTTTTAAATAATTGTAACCTAATAAGATTGATAAACATGCTTTTAATGCATACTAGTTAATTATATCAAAATATTTATTCGCCATTAATATTTTAGAGTATTTGACCAGTCAAATACTCCTCCGGTCAATTGACCGACATGCCAACCCTGCTTTTTTATGTATTAATAACTTCTATTTTCGTTCTTTCTTAAATCTTGATACCAATTAAAAGTTTTGCTAATAAATTTTCTATTTATTATACTATTTACAAAAACGGATTGCAGTATTAATCAAAAATGCAAACTAGCTAAGTATTACATATTGGCCTAAGCTTTCGAATTAGTGCTTTCAAACGTTTGGCAAATTTCGTGCTCAGGAATGCGCCTAAATATAAATCAGAGACATATAAAATTTTTAAAAACATAATTCGATTCAAAATATGTGATTTAAACTAATTTACTTCTATATAAAATAGGGATGGCCCCAAAAAATCAATTTGATTTAAATCACCCTGATTTTTAAAAAACAATTAGTGATTTAAATCAATAATTTTAATAAAATTCTAAATACTAAATTTTATAAAAAAATAAAATAAGGAAAGAAAAAGACTTATTATCTTAGAATTAAATAATATTTATATGAAAAATATTAAATTGTACTAATAATCACGTTCACGACTTAGATAAAAAAAAATTTGTATTTCAATGTTTGGCATAATTAATTGTATAATTCCAATCTCAATGCAGTGAGAAATTATTTACATTCTAAAAGCAAGTATTTGGTTTGCTAAATCCAGGGCTGTGAACCCTCCTTCCAAAAGAGGGGTTCTGGTTCATGGAAATACCTTGAACCCGGTTCAGGGTCAGGATTTGCAGTTCAGAAAATAAAATAACAGAAACGTCAGTTCTCTTAAAATTTATTTTATTATATTTAGCAATTACCATAAAAATAATTTTATCCTTATAATTAGATTAATACAATATAATTTAAAAAATATATTCTATTTGTTTTTTAAAATTTTATGAGAGAATTATCATGATATCTTCCAAAATCTAGATGATAAAATTAAAAAATTGGTATTATAAGTTTCAGAATTAGTATTTGCAAAAGTTTGGCCACTTCACGCTTAAAGTGTGACGTCATAATTTTCATTTTGTTTATAAATGTTTCTTTTTTGTGGTTCGCAAATCTGATTGAATAAGTATTAGTTTCTACTTTATAGACTGGTTAAAGCGCTCAAGTTGCGCATCCAATTGTTCAGTTAATGTTATCGGAGATGATATAAAGATATTACGTATTTTAGAAAACGCAAAATAAAAATAACCACAATAAGATCATAAATAAGTAAACATATTCTTTCAAAGTTGTGACCAGACTGAAGGTGGGGGAAAATGGTGGTTGAAGGCGAAGCTTCCCTAAAATTTGCTATAAACCCTCCTATATTCTGGCAAGTATGGGTTCCACGATTTAGTTTGGTCTTAAGACGATTTCGAGGAATCTGAGCGCACTTGATCTAATAAACCAATGATAAAATCTTACACAGTTTTCGCCGTAAAAGGTCACGTATTAAATTTTATCATTTTTTTGCTTCTCGACATTAACTTAGAATAATTATATTAATTCACCGAAAAATAATTAATAAAATGAACATGAATTGAAAACGGGATTTTTTAAAAAAATAAGAGGAACGACGTCAATAAATAAAATAGGCGCGTAAAATGCCATACAAGATAAATGGCACAACAGAGAAGTGTAAAATATATTGACTTTATTAAGAATGCGCCATATATCTCGTGTATGTATAAATATGTAAAATAATAGTGGATATTTTTAAAACGTTACCTTCAATTTAAGATACCTCAGGCTCAACTCAATCTTCTGAGAACAATCTTCGAACAAAACCACCATCCTATTGACGCATATAGAGCATTTTATAAAAAAATATATAAAAATTTTTAGCTTCCTTTTATAATTTCTTTCTACTATTTTAGGTGTTAAAATTTAAAAAAGAAAAAATTTCATTATCCTAAGCATGTCTAAAATTTTTTTATAAATAGTAATAATTATAAATTTAATTAAAATGTGTTGTAGAAAAATCATTCCTAAAATTAAAAAAAAATAAAATATTTAATGAGTGGATATTAAAAGGTCAATATGAAAAGTCACCATAATATACATTAATAAAAGGCCAAAAGTAAGGGAACAGTTCTATGGTCAGCCAGGTCAAAATTTATGTTTAATTAAAAAATTTTCTTAGATTTTTTTAAAAAAATTGATGTTAAACAAATTATAATTAAACCTTAAAACACTTTGAGAAGTTATATAGGAAACGAGTTCTTCATGGGCACTATTCTCCATTGATATTCCATTTATGGCTAAAATTACATCACCTAAAAATATTTATAAATATTTGAATGAGTGTGAAACAATTTATAACAATATCAAAGATGCACTAATAACACTTTTTTTAAAGCTGTTACCCATACCAAAATTGATGCCTAATATAGCATCATTTTTGCCCAGCCTAATTATTTGGTCTACAATAATATTCTATGAAGGGACAAATGTATAATTTATAAAAATATTTTGTATAAATTATTCAGGCCTGGTTCAAAATTTTCTACCCAGGGGTTTTCCAAAAGTACATTCAATAATATTCTCATCTTTATTTATTTAAAATTAATTTTGCACCTCATAAAAGTTAAAAATATATTGGAATTTGTATATGGATTACAAATTCATAGAAAATTATTTTTAATTTATAATGCTGAATTACCATTTTGGGGTATTGACGACTGGTATTGGTAAATACAGATTAGTCCTGCAAGACTCAACAACCCAACCTAACCCATGGGCCGGTGGTAACATCATCAATAAAATAAGTCGAGCACATGACCCAAAAAATATTAATGTGATAATTCCTTCTTATTCTTCCTTTTTGCCTGTTTCTATATCACAATTACAAAACAGAGATGGGCCAATATTATATTTTGATATTGACCAATACTTTTTATTTTAGCTGACACTAGTGACCTATACCAAAATAATTAACACTTATAAATCTCTTTTTGTTAAAATTGGCCTTTTGAGAATTTATAATAAATTAAAAAATCGATATATACCATTTAATATAAGAAAGGAAGCGTTTAAAAGTAAAACATTAGTCTATATCACATTGAATGCCTAATATTTTACTTTTAAATAATAAACATTATAAAAATGATATAAATAAATAAAAAGATAGCGATGTCTATTGTGGCAAAATATAGGTAATGAAGGCGGCATACAAACTAAAATGAAAAGAATGGAGATGAGAATAATTAAATGTATGTTTGGGTAACTTTGAGAGAAAGGAAAACAAGCAGCGAATCGAGGAAAAGGATTGGAACTAGAGTTGGCCGATGTAAATCAATTTGTTTTAAATCGCAATTTAAATCACACCCCGATTTTTAAAAAAAACTAATGATTTAATTTAAAACAGTCAAAGATAAGGACTTAAGATAAGCAAAATCTAAATTAAATAACCAAATTGCAATAATAATCACCACTTGTTAGAAAAAAAGTTTATTTTCTATTTCAATTTTTGACATAGTAGGAAAATAACTGCTGATCCTAATCGCAATAGTGAAAAATTCTTTAATATTCTAAATATAAAACGAAAAAACGAATATCAAAAATCTACACATATGTTCAAATTTTTTTTATTTCTTTATAATAAAAAAAATTATCAAAAAGTTTGTAAAATTTAAAAAAAACATATATTAAAAATCACAAGTAAAATCTATAACGTAGATGAGAAATGTTGAAAATTTTTTTATTTCTTTATAATAAATATCAAAAAGTTTGTAAAATTTAAAAAAACATATATTAAAAATCACAAGTAAAATCTATAACGTAGACATTATGAGAATTTAATTGGCCTTTTCTGTTTCTACCCGATTCCTAAGCTTCGAGTGAACAACTCCAAACGATGAGAATACTCTCTCGACTGAAGCGGATGATATGATGAAGATGCAGTAAATAGTTGATTTATTATTTTTAGAATATTTGCAACCCTCATCAAATTTCCTTGGGCCACATTTCAATTGGGTATTCTTTATTTATTTTATTATCCGAAAACATAATTTTAGTAAATGGTTCTGATCTTGCTTAAAACTTTACTAAGATAGATAAAATACCAGTGATTGGATACAGAAGTCCCTGTATTCCATTTCATTGGTTGTTAAATTTGAACGAAATGGCAATAGCTAATGGTAGTCTGAAAAGATTACATTTCATTTGTCGTTTTTATTTGAATCAGAAAATTCTACAATAAATTAATCTTAGCAAACAATTGATAGTTAAATTTTTTAAAAAATAACTATATTTATTTTAAAAAATATCAAATTATAATCATTATTATTTAATTTTTCAACAATTTCCTGACTTGTTCCCTTGGGCATTAGTCTTTTACTTGCAAGATAATATTAAACTGAAATTTAAAAAAACGATATTTTACAATCTTAGCCCATAATTCTTTAATTAAAATTTTAATCATTTGGTTTAAATCGCGATTTAAATAAAAAAATCAATTATTTTGATTTTTATTTTAAAAATTACAATTTTGCTAACCCTAATTGGAATAGAACCGATTGGAGTGGTAATGAGAAGATATAGTAATATGGAATCTTACTAAAGCTGTGCCGATATTAGGTAACCGAGATGAGATATTTTGTTTTTGATTATATTATGATTGTATATATAATAAATATCTTTTATTTATAGGCTTATCAAGGATTTTCTATGGAGCTGGGGTCACTATTAGTCGGGGTATTCCGCTATAAATTTTATAGTCTACGTCCACTTATTGTAGGCATTTGTCCATATTATTTTTTATAAAAATATCTTTGTAAATTCTTGAATTATAGTCGTTATTTTAAAAAATTATCAACTTTTACTAATTTTTATTTACAGTGAAATATTGTACACATTTTTGGGGAAGAGGGGGGTGTAGGGGGATTTTTTTAAATTGTAAATATAATCAATTATCGGATCGGGTTTTAGTAATATCGGATAGGTGAAAAATTTGCGGATCGGCACATCCCTAGTCTTACAAAGACAAAGAATGATGATCAGAACCGTTAAAAGTAAGGAAAAGGAATGAAAGGAAACTGACTAACCTAACAGCCATCAAACGACGAAGTAATTATTTTCCTATTTCTCCTACTTTTAAAACTTGTTTTAACTTTATTAGGAAGAATACATGTACAAGAAAATAAATGACAACAATAAACTTCATTAAAACTTAAAGGCATTTATGGCTTAAATTAAAAAAATATTTCTGGAAATGAAGGAAATAATTTTATATTATTTTTTTTAAACTTAAGTTTCTTTTTAAAATTATTTTTTATTAAAAAAACATAGTATTGGTAGTATGAGATGAGCTTAAATTATCAAATTGCAAAGTGAATATTTAAATTTAATGAATAATATTAAATTAAATGAATAATATTAAAATTATGAATAAAATGAATAATATTAAAATTATGAATAAAATAAATAATTTAAGTTCAAGATCTATAAGTTTTTAAAAAATTTGGGCCATAACGCAATGGACATGGGCTAGATCTAAAATAAATTTTGCCGCCAAGCTTCAAGAAGGTTGACCAAAAGATTTATTTTGCAAGTCGTTAACACTCATTCTGACAGATGTCATATCAGTATATTATCAATAACAGGTATTGGTGCATATCTGTCAGATTTATAATATATATATCAGAGACCTGCATATCTCAAAATTTTAGACATGGCTAGATTAAAAAAAAAATTATTTTCAAGCCTGTTCCAAAATATTTTTGGCCCAGCCCAGAATTTTCAAAATTTTGAATAATTTTGAAAATTATTTCAAAGGAAAATAGAAGAAACGAGCAATAAATGAATAATAAAAATTAAATATGATTTTCTGACTGATTAATTGGGTTAATGATGCTTACTACCAAGTGAATGTATGGAAATATTCTAAATACCAACCTAATTTTCTAAATACCATCCTAATTTTCTAAATACCAACCTAATTTTCTAAATACCAACCAAAATTTATTAAAATGTAATAAGATCCTTATTATTTAATATATTATAATGGAATCACGTGGTCGAGTCCGGCCTCCTATATATCATGCCCCCAATGATGGAACCACCAAGTTAGAATAAGAAAAAAAACATAATCATTACCGGGATTCGATCCCGTGACCATGGGATCAGTAAGCAAAGCTCTTGCCGACTAGGCCATAGAGGCTTTCCAAACGATTTTTTAAATATATATTATAAATATATTTGGTAGTGCCTATCCAAATGAAAAATAAACAAAATTCAAATTTGATAAATAGTACCTTAAAATAGTAAGCATTAACCCAAATATGCTTAAAATATTTTCAAAATTCTCCTGTCAAATAATTTATAAGGAAGAATATATTTTATGACTGAGAACACTTCTATATGCCAACTTGGGTTGCTGTAACTGTCAAATATCAATTAAAAAAATATTATTTACTGATAATAAAGAATTAAAATATCAAAAAGTCCAAATCAGTTCACAGGCATTTTTAGAGGTTCAGTTTAGATGATAAATTTTTTATTAATTCAGGTTTAATTATTGAATATCAAATATAAGTTTGACAGTTTACTTTATTTAGCATATATACAGTTATAGGAAATTATTTTTTTTAAATAAATTTTTTGAAAGGACAAGCTATCATAGTTTCTAATAGATCACCTATTGATCAGTCTATGATCTCTCAACAATATTGTAATTATAAGTTTAGAATTATAGAATAAAAAAAAAATTAAACTTAAATACAATATTGACAATAGATAAGTGTTTAATAATTTAATATATTATCTTTAATATATAACAAAATAAAATTATTAATCATGAAAATGACCTCTTTTAAGACCAGAATAGTAAGCAGGACTTTCAAACTCCACATAATCAATAAAAGTTATTAAATCAATTATTACATTTTGATTTTTGCTATGTAAATTATTATCATTTGCATAATTTAATAAGTCATTGAGATCTGATACTTTGGACTCATATGAAGAATACTCTAAAGGTAAAGATGATTGTCTTTTAATCCCATATGTTTGAATAGTAAATCCAAAATTTTTTCTTTTCTTGCATTTGTTAAGAACCACGGTTCTTCTTCTCTTATTTTCTTCACAGCTTGTAGAATCAACACAATGGTCATAATCTTTAATTCTGTCTAGGATTTTATTCTACATATTAAAATGAATAGGTTTTGGTACATTATTATACTAATATCATCTTTAAAATATAATAGTCTTATAACTCTTAATTATTTATTATAATACTTGAAGAGATGAATTGTAAATTTAACCATATTAATATTTTATATTGTACTTCTTCATTATTAAATTTTTTTTCTAACAAAATATTAACTTTTACCTGTTGATCATAATATTGCAGTGGATTAAATGATCTTCGTTTGCTTGTTGCTCTAGATGCCATGAACTCATAAATCTCCGCATATATGTGCTTATGCTTATATTGAATAATAGGGATGGCTGCAATAAAACGTCCGATTAATATTTGCTAAAATTATACGACCAATTAAAATTTTACATAGGGGAACTCCATGTTGAGTAATAATAAATAAAATATTTTATCAGTTTAATTTTAACAAAAGGGCACGACAATATCTATTAAAATAAAATTCCTCTCTGGGATACAAACAACAATGAGATTCATTACAGCGATTTAACTATTGCGCTCAATGGCGTAGCTAGGAATTTTCATTAGAGGGGGTCAATACATAGAAAATCCTGGGAGCTTCGCCCCCAGACCCCCTTTAACGGGCTTTCGGCCCTTTTTTCTGGCCTTCGGCCCTTTTTCCTGACATTCGGCCGGGTTTATCTTAAAAATCATAACCACATCTTCGACAATATATATAAATATTTTTAAATGCATGAATAATGTTATTATAATTTAGTAGATAATATTATTATAATTTAGTAGATTATTCTCAATGACTTTATAATAATACTACCCAGAATAAATTTAATAGTAATATAATATCCTTTCATAAACATCAAAACCAGAAAAATATAAATATTAATGGTATTTATTTGATACAAAGTCACTTTTAAGTCTTTTGAACGTATAATCTAAAAAAAATTTGCTCTGGGAGGGGTCCAAACCCGAAAACCACCCCCGTAGCTAAGCCACTGATTGCGCTGCTTTGGATTTAGAAAGTATATCTTGGGCCTGATATTTTACCAACCATCAACATTTAATTTATTTTTATCGTTATTATTTTTTTTAAATTTTATTTTATTAAAATCTTCTATTTTTAAAAAATTATTTTGTAAAATTCATTAGAAAATCGATATAGCTAAATAACACTTAAATAAATATTTTTATAAGTACTTAAGTCCGTGGATGGATGTGCAATTAGATCTAATTAGTTAAGCGGAGATTATAGAGATTCTAAAGTTTTAAGGAAATAATGCTTTATTACCATTATTAACTAGCGTAGAAGTGATGAAAGGTAAAAATATAAGATTTTCTAGGGAGGAATGATGCTACAGCTTTTAAAAATCGATTTAGCGAAAGACAGGAATATTCCAAAACTAATGGTAGTATCAGGAAGTGCAAATTGTTAAGCTATTGAGTTATGTGTTAATTTTTAAATATGTTATTATCAGACTGGGTATGGTTTAGTATATGAAACTAATTATACACATTCATCGCTAAATTACCATATGTTAAATTTCACATTGATCAAGATAATTTAATTATGAAAACCGATAATGAAGAAAAGGAATCATTGCGGTTCAAACGAAGCTATTCTACGGAAAATGATCCAGGATTTAGCTCTTCTCCTGGGCCTAACATTAATGCCACCAATATTACTACGAGCACCACAAAGACATTTGGAAACGTATTCAGACTTATACCAGAAGAGGACGATAATCATATTCGAAATGCTTTTTATAATGTTTTAGCCTTTTTGTGTTTAATAATTATTTTGGGTATATTAGTGGCAGTTTATTTTGTCTTACAAAAGTTTTTAAGACCAATTGCTTGGGCATTGTTATTTGGAGCCTTTTTACATCCTTTTAAAAGAAAATTAACCAAAAATCTCTATGATTGGGTTGATTCTATAACAATTCCTCAATCAAGAAAAGATAAAAATAACCGAACTTTTTTATTTTCACTTTTTTATTCTCCTATCAAATATTTAGCAACCACTACTGAAAGAATAGGAGATAATATTCTATGCAAATGGAAATTCATATTAAAAATTTTAACTGCTGTCACATGCTTATATTTGGCTCATCATTTGAAAATAATAACAGCCTTCATGTATTTGTTTACATATTTTTCCAATTTATTTATAAATTCTTTTGATTTTTGGATATCAATCTTTTCTGGAAAATGGGTATTGAATAATTTTATTAAACACTAATGGGAATTTCTTTTAGGTTTGTGCACTTCTGATTGCATATTTTGTATCCATCATATTTTTTGATTATGACAAAAATCTTTTGAGATATTCTTCATATGTTGTTTGGTTATTGATATTATGCAATGTTGCTTATTATATACCTAACTATCATAGTCAATCTTTTGTATTTTTATTAATGAGTGGTTTATACTTAGGAGGCTTATTTTATGATATAAATCTCCATAAAACACTTTATAAAGAATCAGGTTATATTTTTATTAAAATATATTTATTATATATAAATGATAATTTATCTCATATATCTACAAAAGATTCCAAAAATTCAGTAGAAATATATAACATACCACAACTAAATGTAAATACCTATCAAAACATAAATAGCGATAATATGTTAACTGACAAAAAAAATCAGAATATTAATGTAATCAATTTATATTGTTTATTTTCAGAGATATTTTTTTCATAGGTAAATAATATGATTGAAAATGAGCATAAAATTTTGAATGAAATAAAAAATATCACTGATAAATCTGAACAACAAGCATGGGATAGCAATAGATATATAATGTTTTTGCTTTGGTGTTGTTTATTCATCGAATTTTACAAATGGGTTCTACTCATTCTGCCCTTGTCAATATTGATTGCCATTATTCGTAGAATAGGTTAGCTTATTTTTTTAAATAATTTTGATCATTTAATTTAATGATTTATTTTTATTAGTAGTCTTCAATTTACTCTATTATTTTTAAAAAAGAATTACCTCAAAATAATCTATCTTAATTTTGTAATAATTATGGATCATGAATAAATAGAAAATTGTATCTTCTAATCTAGCCAATTTTATGGTAAAGGAAAATTTTTTGGAACTCTCTTCTGACAGCTTAACTTCTTTCCTATATCTCTAAGGAAGGAAGGAACAAATTCGAAAATTTTGAGTTGACATGAAATGAAATGTATATTCCTATTATTACTTTCTCTCACTTAAAGGAATTTGTTGTGGGCATTGAATTTGACGAAATTTCAATGCACATGAAAAATGATACAATTTTCCCACAGGCTAAATGTAAAACAATTAGATTCTTTTGTTGTCAGTGGCATTTAAACCAGGGATTATTAACGTTGCATATAATGTTAATTAAAATTTCAATGTCTTACAAAAATTCGTTTTTTTTCGGAAATGAAAAATAAGGCTATGTCAAAGTCGGCTTAAAAAATGAAATATCTGCATAGATTAAGCTAAAAAAAAAAGCAAAAAAACCTACATATTTGATTGAACAATAAAAATCTATAGCTTATACTGTCGCATTTTTGTAGCTTAGCTTAGTCAACTTATTTATTTTACATATATATATATATATATATAATTTGCGGTATAAATTCATGTTGTTTTGTATTATTACATTTAAGTATGTAATATCGGCTATTGTTGGGTAGGCCTATTTAAAAACGAATACGAATCGTATAGTCAATTATTCGTATTTAACTCGATTAAATTATTCGAATAATTCATTTTTTTTAAATATAAAATAATTTATAGGATAGATAACATATTGACAGATTACAATTTATAGCATATCTAATTTTAAACAGAATAAATTATTATTATGATAATTTGATGACAAGCTTATAAACGAATTTAAAATGCCTATTAACTTAATTTATATGCCAAGCTACTGTTAAGGCAAAGAGGTTTTTTTGTTACTTCTTTATAATACACCAACTAAGAACAACCTTTCATCGGCAGTTGATGCATGCCTTAATCACATCAACTATCAAATTTATATGGCGTTATCAATAGAAATTACTAATGATTAAAAAATATTAATAATTCTTCCGATGAATTCGAATTATCGATGAAATTATCTAATATCTAATTATTTGAATGATTGGTTTGTATTCAAATTATACGTTCCCAGTGTTTTTGCAGATTTGATGGAAAACATTTCCATATTTTTTTAATTTTTATGCAAATAAAATTATTTAACTTGTAAAAAATAGTTAAGAATATAAATATGTTAATTTAACAATTTTAGCAAGTTAAAAAAATTTTAAATTAAAATTTAAAAATCTTATCATCATAATGAATAAATAGTATTGGTAGATAATAAAGATTAGAGATTTACATGGCCCGAAATTTTAGCCAACTTGTGCAAATTTATCAGGTCGGATAATTCATGCAAAATTTAAAAAATATTAAACCTTTAAGTAATTCAAATTTCTGATTTTTTCTTCATAAAAAAATATTTACGAGGCCAGCATGACTAAAAACACTCGCCCACTTTCGTAAGATATTTTTCGGACGGATCAATATTTCTTACCGGGCCAAAAACATCTTTTAAAATCTTCAGTTTTCCAATATAAATTTTTCAAGTAATTATTAAGTGATTTAATATCTATAAACTTATATCAGAAATTATATTAATATTTGGCATAGATCGGTCATTAAATATGAAAATGCATGTGAAAAATATTCGCCCAATAAAAAAGGTTTTAAAACTAATGTAGATAAAAGTTATTTTAAGCAAAGGTAAATTTTGAAGATTTTGGGCCCTTGTGTCACGCCAAATGTATTTTATATTTTACTAGCTAATAACCCGTCAAGAATGAGGGGTTGAGGTGTAATTAGTTAGTTTGTGTATATTGTACTAAATATGCTTTATATTAAAATTTAGGAGAAAAAGAGGTAAAATTGTTGCAATGCAACCCATGAGCATTAAGGGTATTAGAAATATCAAAATTTAAATTTGTGATAGGAATTATACTGGGTAAAATTAAAAATAGAGATGCTTCAAAATTTTTGAATTTTAAATATAGGCTAGACATTTGCCTCGAAATTTTGTTTTGCAGACATAGCTAGGCCTGATCAAAAAACCACATCCCATGCAACTTTCCCAAAATTTTGCCATTTATTTCTATTGTATTAATAATAATGTCTTAAATTTAATTTTATATATAGAATAAAATTTAAATTTGTGATAGAAATCATATTGAATAAAATTTAAAATAGAGATGCTTGGAAATTTTTTAATTTTAAATATGGGGTAGACATTGGCCTGAAATTTTTTTTGCAGACATAGCCAGGCCTGTTCAAAAAACCAAGTCCCATGCAACTTTCATAAAATTTTGCTATTTATTTCTATTGTAATTTATTAACAATGTCTTAAATTTAATTTTATATTACATTTATTTCTATTGTTGTAATTTAATAACAATATCTTAAATTTAATTTTATATTTAGAATAAAATTTAAATTTGTGATTGAAATCATAGTGGTTAAAATTTAAAATAGATATGCTTGAAATTTTTTTAATTTTAAATATGGACCAGTCATTGGCCTGAAATTTTTTTTCTCAAACCTGGCCAACCCGGAATTTTTTTTAATTTTTTCCCACGGAGATAGGTAAATCTCTGAAAACCATATTGTTGGGAAAACTTTCTCGAGCCCGCCAAAGATCATAATAATTTTGTTAGTTGAAAACTGAAATAAAATATATAAAAGTCATAATTCATTTAAAAATAAAATCAGAATATGAAAGTTGCATGGGCTTGGTTTTTTAATCAGGCCTGGCGATTTCTACAAAAAAAATTTTCAGGCCAATGTCTAGCCCATATTTAAAATTAAAAAATTTTCAAGCATTTCTATTTTATATTTTATCCAATATGATTTCCATCACAAATTTAAATTTTGATATTTCTAATACATGCTCACGGTATACATTGTAACAATTTTACCTCTCTTTCTCTTTCTCTTTCTCTTAAATTTTAATATTTATATAAAATTAGTGCATACACACAAACTAAATAATTACCCTTCAACCCCGTCAGCTAGTATGGTAGTAATAAACGGCAGAATTTTAAAAATATCAGCTATTAATTAATATATATATAATTAATATTTTAAATTTAATTATATTCAAGTTGGTGCATTCTTAAAACATACGACTTTGAAACGGGAGGTTTGTGGTTCGACTCTCGTAGAGAGCAAAAAAATAACATTACACTATATAGTCTCCTTAAATTTTAAATACATTAGGAAGATATGAAAACGATCATGTTTTGATTATGGAGATTATATATATTAGATTATGTAAATTACAAGACTTGTATTAACGGATATCGCTTTCAAATTTTTTTAAAATATTTAATTTAATATATCTGTAAATGATTCATAGTTTGTAAAAAAATCTAAGATTTTGTAAATCACAAAATTGAAGATTAAATCATTTTTTAAAAAATTTTTTATTTCATCAATCATGAAAAATTTATTGTGCATAAAATTATCAAAAATTGTTTAAGCAAGAAAAAGATCTCAAAAATATCTTCTTAAAAAATCTTTGAAGAATTTATTTTTGGAGAGCATTTCAAACTCTGTAAATGATCACAGCAAAACTTAATCTAGTGTTGTAAAACGGCTCGATTTTTAAAAATGGCTAACCCAATATTTTAGTCAAAAAAAATATTACGCAAGCCTCAAGATTTCGTTAATAAATACCTTTCTATATTCTATGAGCAAAATCAGGCTTGCATAATAATAGTTTTACCTAAAATATTGGGTTAGCGGTTTTTTTAAATCGAGCCGTTTAACAACTAAAAGTATTTTTTTCTGATCATTCCTATCTAAATTGCATGTTGCAAAAATATTAAATTACATTATTAATAAATGTATAAACAGAACATAGATCCCGGAAAATTTGTACGTTTATTAGAGTGCGCTTCTCAAAATTTCTCAACTTTTATTATCGACACAAAAACGAACCGATTTGGAAAATTTTGCATTACTTGTTGCTTGCCGCTTATTATATACAAAGTGGGAATAAAAAATTAATCAATAAATTTTTTTTATCTTAAGGTTGCATCCAAAACTTGTTAAATTTTTTTTTTAAAGTTTCAAAAATTTAAAGAAGCCTATTGATAAAGTTTTAAAAATTTCACAAATTATGTATACGGCGATATCTTTATTTTTCTTTAAAAAAAGGCTTATTTCGTCGTTTTTCGATAAATTTTGAAATTTGATGTTTTGGACGAGGACTTATAAAAGGATTAACCACCTACCCTTTTTTTAAAATATATTTATCTTTTGCTATAAACGAGAAATAAAAAAAATTTGTAAATTTTTTTTTATTTTGCATGCTTTTCAGGACTTTTTCGGCTTACCTTAGATACACATTGCCTAAGAGTGGCATAAAAAAATGACAAAAGCGGCTGCAGATTGACAAATATAGTTAAATTAAACTGTATATGAAATGGACGGTAGAATGAAGTAAGTTGTATAAACCTCGATTTAATCGATTTTTAAGAAGTGTTTAAATCAGAACTATAGTCCAAGATTATCTGACCCTCGAGATTTCTTCAAAACATGGCAGATGAATTTGGCTCTTAGTGAAATATATAGGCTTCGGTAATATCTGTTTAGCCATTTAATCGAGGTTTGAAAAAACTCTCGTAGAACGACATGACTAAAATATGCTCGAAGTCTGATCTAAAGAATAAAGATACATCGTTTATTGTGTTTTTCAACAATTATATTCTTTCTTTTAAGCGACATATTTAAGGAATAGCCACGACGCTGATAGTATTAGTAATTATATTTTCATTTTCAAAGGATAGGCTAATTTATTTCTTTATTTTACAACATTGGCTGAATGAAAGGTATTCTGTTACC